TGGGTCGGACGAGAAGGGACCGCCGTTCATGGCAGCGAGAGCGTAGAGGAGCAACCTGTGCATCGCCAGCACAGAGCCAGCACGTGCCTCGAATCGGTGAGGGGATCGTGGCGGCGATCGCTGGACGTGTCCCTTCGACGGCGAACTCCACCGCCTTGGGGCTTTTGGAAAAATGCTTCCCAGAAGACTTGAGTTGTAAAGTTTTCTAGGGCCCCTCCGGACCGAGGGGGGGAGAGGCCGCTCGCCAAGCCCCGTCGATGAGTGGTCAGATGGTTAGTGCCCGAGAGCGAGGGGTCCGGGGGGGAGCACAAACATAGGACGCCCAGCCTTGCCCTCGTGCCGCCGAGTGCATATCCTATGCGAGAGAGATCCCCTGTGCCCTGTGCCCAGCCCTCTCCGCGCGGCGATGCGCCCTCCCCCCTCGCTTTTGCAAAATCCTGCAAAGGTGGGGACGTGTCTGTCCTCGACCCAGCCCTAGCTTGGGATGTCCGTTGTATTTATTTATTTTATTTTCGAGGGGGGGAGACCGAACGGAGAAGCCTCGAGGGGTGACGTCGAGTGAGGATGTACGTCGTGGGCGTGTCTCTGGTCTGGTGTTTATTAGCTCCGAGTAGAGGGGGCGCTCCGCTGCTAGGGGAAACCTGGAGCGCGGACTAACCCTCGGAGACCCGTGTTTACTTTAAGGCCCTTTCCCTGAGAACGCGCACCCCCGGGGCTAGGGCTCTCTAGCCCGTAACCCGATCCCGATCATCCGGCCCGCTGGGTGCGCTTCTTAGCTCCCCGGCCCTGGATGTGAGGCTGCCAACTGCACTCCAAGTGCTCCAAGTATCCTAACGGTGTGGGGGCGCGGAGGGCTTGTTGGCGAGCCAAAATGGTATGTCCGAGGCGCTGCGCTAGGCTCAAAGCGAGTTCGCGTTGCGCTAGGCTCAGACGGCGAGTTCGCGCTGCGCTAGGCTCACAGATGGCAAAGAAGGCCATAAATCTCTCTCTCTCTCAGATGGCGAGTGCGCTGCGATAGATTTGCGCTGCGATGAAAAGACCCCATTATAGGAGCCGATAACCCAAGGGGGGAATACCGCTCGATGCGTTTTCTTCTTACGTCCAACTCCGGCAGTTGGTCCAGCATGGCAGCCTCCGGCGACCAGGCTCTGCAGCTTCAGATTCGGAATCTGCAGCAAAAGATCGACTTCTAGCACAGGGAGATCAAAAAGCGCGACAAGCACATTCGCGATCTCCGCGACGCCTCGTCGCCGACCTCGAGCGCCTCGAACGGTCGATCTGCCGCCTCTCGCTGCAGATGGAGCACATGCAGCTCGTCATCAAGAACCCTCGCCTTCGCCCCCGCCACTCCGAACTACCCGCCGCCCGCCCATGCCAACTTCCGTCGCCCTCCTCCTCCCGCCTTCCCGCCCTCCGCCCTCGCCATCCCCCCTCTGTGCGTTCCACCCCGCCCGCTCCCTCCCACTTGGCGCCCATGCATTCCGCCCTCCGCCCTCGCCCTCCGCCCTTGCCCTGGCCGGCCTGGGTAACCCAAAAGTGCCCCAAGGGCTCTGAGTTGGCCTGATGGACACGAAACCTAGAAGAAGAGAGAAGAGAGAGAGAGAGTCGTGATTTCTTGGTTTTCAAAATCTTCGCTCTCGAAACCTTGGCAACGACAAGACCAAAACATGGGCAGAGGAGCGAGAAAGAATGTAGGATGAGGGCGCCTGTTACGGCATGGAGGGTGAGCCACGCCGAACGGAAGGAGTCCGGAGAAGTCGAATCCGATGAGGACGACACGCCAGTGGTAATCCCGTCGTCAGCTGTCACGATGTATCTAGATACCCTCGTGGGGCGCTGGCCCTGCGGGCGGCCGGGGTGCGGGTGGCGCGGCGGCGGCGGCGCGCGGTCGGACCCGGGCATCGCTCGGCAGAGCGGAATTTCTTACCTTTTGATAATTAAATAAGAAAACAGCCCATGAGGTATTCTCAAGCGAGATTGCATTCTCCATCACAACCTCTAGAGGCGGGCGAGATGAGGGAGGACCTACTGCTGCACAGAGGTACTGCAAGAAAGTGTGTATACACGTACAGAGCGATTGCGCAGATTCATACCACGCCCGGCCGCGAGAGGAAGAGCGACGACAGCGATGGAAGCCGTCGACCCCGTGCGGGCAAAGGAGGCGCGGTGCCCTTCCCCACCATGGATACGCGAGCGGGTCCACGGTTCTGTAACGGCTGATGGTACATGTGCAGCGCGCGCGCATAGACAGTGATGGTGGCTCACCTCACCCGTCGCACCAGGGCTCCAGTTCCACCTCTCGCTCGCGGATCTCGACTCTACCGTCCCAGTAAGGCAGTCTGGGCACAAAAATATCCCCCCCCCTACTTTCAAGAAGAAACCGGTGTGTCGTGGGCCCGGAGATGTGCTTTTATGTGAACGCCCGGGGCTTCGCCCAGCACCACTCGCAACAGCTCTCTCGCGCCGCCGTCTGTGGCGACGCGCAAAACATCAACAACGCTGCTCGCAACATGCGAGAGAGATTTTTATTAACATGCGTGTCGCGCACTCATTCATGACCGGTCTCAATGTCCCACCCCCCTGCGCGCGGGCCTTCTAGGCCCGCGGGTAGTCTCACCCCATCCCCAGGGCCTCCAGGGCTCGCACCTCAACCTCTCACAGACCAGCGCATGCGCCATCGGACGTATTTTCTTGTCAATAACAAGGCTGTGAACAGCGTTTGAGCTCTGCCACCGCCTGCCAGCCGCCAGCCGCCCTCTTGCGTTCATCCCAGGGCGGCCGCTCCGCGTCATCGCCGCCTCGGCTACCGCCGCCGCTATCGCCGCCGCCGCCGCCGCTATCGCCGCCGCCGCCGCCGCCGCCGCCGTGCAGCGAACTGGATGGTCCCCGGAGGCGACGCTTGCCGTACTGTGCTTGACTTGGGAAACTGTAGCAGCTACTACGCTGGCCCCTACCAGAAGAAGGGAAATGACCCCGACGACGACACGTGGCGGCTATGCAGGCCGCATTCCAACCTTAGCAAGGACGAGGTGTGCCAGGGCGATGCGATCAGGGGCTGCTTTCCGCTGCCGCCGCTGCCGTCCAGCGCCACAGCCTCCATGGCCGTGCTGCTAGCCGGCCAGGTGCGCAGCTTCGCGGAAGTCGAGCAGCGCCGGACGCTCCTCGCATGGTTGGCGTGCGTTTCTTTTTGTCGTGTTTGAGAGCGAGTGACGGATAAAGTCGTGTGAAAGAGCTGTGAAAGCGAAAGTATCGAAATTAATTGCGCGCCGCAGGCGAAGAAAATTTTCAGGGTTTTTTTTCCTACGCCAAAGAAATCGAAGATTTCGGCGGGCGCCCGAACGCGGTATGGAGCACGCGCGCTGCCCGGCATGCCTGCAGCATCCAAACGAGACGCACGGCGTCGCTCAGCCGTGTCCACGCGGCTTCGCTCCTGTCCTAACCGGCGCCATCTGGGCGGCTGCTGCGGAGCTGCTGCCGGCGGTGCGGCAACTGGCCGACAGATACAATGCTCAGGGCACCCGCCGGCGATTCACTGGAAAGGAACGAAGGCGCCGCTGTCGGCGATTCACCGCCGTTCGTTCCCGTCTCTCAAGCTGGCTACACCGTCCATGGACGAGGGAGACGTCGCCTCCTCTTTCGTCCCGGGCACTGTTCGCGCCGGAAGGCACCGTACACTGCGAAGTACATTAACCTTCATCCCTCCTACCGCCGGCCGGGAGTGCAGCCTTCGCCATCGCTGAGTGAGATTATCCTCGACTTTGGCACCTGCGAAGTAATGAACAACATGCAGTACGTCATATGCAATGGCGCTATGACAGCCCTGCGATGGGCGTCCTCGACGCAGACGAGGCGGAGCTCATCTGCACGGCGCAGATCGCCGACTTTCTCTCTCTCCCTGCGCGAGTGGTTGCGCCACCGTGGATGAGGCATATGGGCTGGGCAGGGGAGTTGGTAGAGGAGGTCGACTGAGGGCGCGAGGCCGCCAATCGTCACAGTCTGCTGCTGACTGTCGGTCGCTGACTGGTTGCGCATCGCGCTGGCCGCGCAGCGGCCTTTAGAAAATTTTGGCCGCAGGCCTAGTTTTGGAGAAGATCAAATAATAAGCGCCGGTGAGGCTTTCAGAAGCTGCCGTTTGCGGCTTCCTAAGTCAATTTTTCGAGAGGAACGTTTTGGCTTAGCTATAACGGCTCCAAAGTCGCGCGATCATCGAGTTTTGAGTCAATAATTATGAAAGGAAGGGGCTGGCGAGAATTATAGCTAAGCCAATCGATTCAGCGTGCTCTGAAACGCCCAAAACCGTCGAGTTTTTTGCGGTAGGCAAAATAGAGCACTTAATATTTGATCTTTCTTGGCCACGGCCACGATTACCCGTCACTCGCTCTTGAGATCTCTAAAAATATATAAGAGTCTGAGGGCGGCCACTTCCATGTGCCCCCCCCCCCCCCCCCCCCAAGGCCGCAAGGGCGGCGGCTCTACAAAAATAAATCATTCGAAAATAAATGGTACAACATCAACAACAGGATACACAGAGGTCGCGCACCCCCAAAAGAGCACGATCACGACACAATAAATCCGCACCGAGGCAGAGCCTGCTACCTAGGGCAAGTGCGCCGCGTACCACGCCTCGAGGGCTCGCAGCGCCCCCTCCCCCTGCTCGGTGTGCTGGTGCGGCCCGAAGTGACCCATCCCGTGTGCGGCGCCGGGGTAGACGCGCAGCTCCGCGCGGTTGCCGCTTGCGAGCCTACGCCATGAGCATGAAAGTCGGGGTGGGGAACATATCGTGAAGGTAGAGAGCATCGCGTGGGCTGCGAATACAGCAAACTACAGCCGGATGCCGTCGAATTTGTGTCCTCGCGAGTGCAGCTGGAATACTACGAGTAAAACAGATCTTATTCCGCATCTAGGCCACCGATCCAGCGCGCGTACATGAAGAGGGAATCCTCGAGGAGAGCGTCCTCGGTCCCCACGCTGAGCAGCGGGATGGGGCTGGTCAGCGCATAATGGCAACGCAAACCACAACCCCGGGTGAGGTGGCAGGGACGGAGCTCGCGTGTGGCCAGACCTGAGCAGGGCGGGAGGCATGCCACCGAGGTCGGCGTGCAGCGGCGAGACGTCCGGGTCGCGCAGCCGCGCCTGCAGGAAGGTTCAGAGGAGCTTCACGGAAGGGTCCACTGCAGCGGCGAGTCCGGGTCGCGCAAAACTGTGGCCGCGTCGAAGCCGGTGCCGAGGTACTGCGAGCGGAACCTAGAGGGGCGTGCGGAGAGGCATTCAGAGCAGGTTCGCTGTAGGTCGGCGCCGGGAGCACTGCGAGCGGAGCCAGCGCAGCTCATTCGCGGTCTCGACCAGTCTCTTCTCGCCCCACGCCTAGAAGGTTGCTAGAAGGTTCGTAGAAGGTTCCTGCGGTCTCGACCAGTCTCTTCTCGCCCCACGCCTGACAGGGGGGGTGAAAAGGGATGCAGGAGGACGCGCCCCGCGCCCCGCGCTAGAGGGGGCTACAGAGAGCACCGCCGGCGTCAGCTCTGCTGGCGGCCCTCCCTAGCACCAGGGGTATGTGGGCTGGTTGGAAGCGCGGTGCCTTGAAGAAGGGCGTCTCGGCGAGGTCGAACCAGCCGTAGGTCAGGGCGACCGCCGCAAAGAGCGATCGCCGTTCCGGCGGGGGGAGGCGGACGAGCAGCGACGCGGCGAGGTAGCCTGCAGGAGAGGGCTCAGAGAACGTTCGCGCGCGAGGCGGACGATCAGGCAGCGGCGAGGTCGCCTCCCGCCGACTCGCCAACCTACGCCACGAACACACCCGAGTCGGGGCGGGGAAGCGGCATCGCGCACCGCTTGAATCCACGGGAAACGAACAGAGGGAGAGGAGTGTGGCCAATGCAGCTGAACACAGCCGATGCGCTGGTCGGAATACACGGGCTCGTGTTCCGCATCTGGAACTCGCAAACCATCAGCAGGGGTGCCTCGGGTCCGATCCGCGCTGCGGCGCGGCCCTCGGGCGAGTCGAGCCAGAGTGCGGCGGCGTGGCAGTCGTCGAGCGCCGCGGGGTGGGTGTGCTCCGGGCTCAGCCGGTAGTCGACCGAGACGACCGTCAGACCGCACGCCTGATGCGTGTCAGTCGTCTTGTCCTCCGGCTGTCTGGCCAGAAGCAACGGCGTGGAGTGGGCCGCATCCCCGTCCCCCGAGTGAGCATTGAGTGTGCATTGCGCGTGCGTGCCCGCGCCCGGTGTACATTTAACACAACGCCTCCGCGTGCCGCAGCAGCCGCTCGTCGTTCTGGCCCATCGCAGAGCCGATGACGAAGCCTCCGCCATGGAGGTGCAGCAGTGCGCCTATGGATTGGTGATTCATGGATTAATGATTCACCCATCACTTATCATAGTTAGACCGCCGGCATGCAGGTGCAGCAATGCACCTCGCGGCGCCGCTTCCGCCGCCGCGGACGGGAAGAAGAGGCGGGCAGCCACATCGGGCGAGCCGTCCAGCCCGGCGAGGCTCACATCCACGCAGCGTGCCGGGTCGCCGTGCTTGAAGGCTGCGTGCCGGAGCGTGCGGTAGGCTGGCACGCCGAGCTCCATCATTGTGGGCGTCTTCTCAGCCTCCTCGATGACCCTCTTGTTGAGTGCGGCCAGCTCGGGAGGCGTAGATGAAAACCACTCTGGCTGGAGCTGATTGATCGGCGGTGGGCAAGTGGGCGGGGGCGATGAGGAGAGCTGATGCATGACAAGAGTCGCTCCTCGGCAGCGGCGCGATGCGAAGGCTGCAAGCGGTGCAGCGTTCGACAAGATGCCTTTTTGCATGAGACCGAAGCGGAATGGAGTAGCGGAAGGCTCGCTGGCACTCTCCACTGTCTGCAATTGGCGCAGCCACTCCTCGCTGCTCGGAGCAGGCTGGGGCGCTATACACAGCACTCTCTTCTTTCGCCGGAGGGTACAAGTCAAAAAAAGAATTTTTTGGCCTCACACGCACGAATGGAGAAAGTGAATGACGACCAGAAATGGCCTCACCACGCGACCACCGACGCGCCATAGCCGATTGAGCCGTCCTCCCGCACCGCCGCCGCCGTGCCGGGCCCCGACACGTACGAGCCCGTCTCCGCGGGCGTGAGGCCCTCCATCCGCTGGATGCTGCGCCGGACGGCGTCCTCCACCTATGCCGGCAGAGGCTCAGTTTGGCCTCCGGTGCGTGCCGTCAGGCTGGTCGCTGCTTGCGAACCCCGGCCTTGAGCGGCGGTGAGTCCTTGCCGCCGCGGAGGCCCATGTCGGTCGCCACCCAGCCGGGGTCAAAGGCGACGACGCAAGACTGCGGGTGCGACTCGCCTGATCATCCAACACACGCCGGCGAGTTGGCCGTCTCGGAAGTGTCGCGGAGGTGGCTCGGGCGTGGCTCGCCCAGCTCGAGGGCGGCCAGCGCCGTGGCCATGTTGAGGGCCGCCTTGGAGGAGCGGTATGCGAGGTCGGTGGCCGCAATGTTGCCGAACGCGCGGCGGGTGTGCGCTGCCAGCGAGCAGGAGCCGAGGCCGGAGCTGACGTTGAGCACTTTGAACGCGCCCGCCCGCTTGAGCGCCGGCAGGCAAGCGGAGAGCACTCGCATCGGCCCGACCGTGTTGGTTGCGAGCACGGCCTGTGCAAGAATGTTGATTTTGAACGGGCCGTGACAGAGCTTACCGGCCGCTCTCCTCGTGGCCTCCATAGCGGAATAGTCCATCTCGCCGAGCGTCTTGTCGGGGCCGCACTCATCTGGCCGGATGCCCGCATTGTTCACGAGCAAGTCGAGGTCGACGCCCTCGAGCGCAGCAGCAAGTCCGGCAACCGAGGCCGGATCGGCCACGTCGAGCATGACCGGCGTGACGTTGAGAGGTGCGAGTGCGGGAGCGGCCGGACCGGCTCGGCACGCGGCGTAGACCGTCCACCCTTTATCGGAAAGCTGCCTGCACCACTCGAGGCCGAGGCCGCGCGACGCACCGGTCACGAGCGCAGTGGGCATGCGGCGCATTTGTCGGATGGAGCGGGAGAGAGGCCCGAGCGGCTGCCAAGATGGAGGGGAACAGACAGCGGAGTCGCGATCGTTTTTCTTTCTTTTGAGAGAATCAAAGCCTCTTGCCCTTGCCCCTTCAAATTTTCTTTTTATGGATGCAAGCTCATCCTATTACCTCCCTGCTCGCAAAAACGTACACACATACACATGAATACATGTACTTACCCGCCTGACATCTATAACGGTTTTGCCCCTCCTAACCTGCGTTCGGAGTGCCCGCGACGCCAAGCGCTCGCAACGAGTCCGCAGCCGCTGGCGGGGCCGAGCACGCGCCACACTCGCGCCGCAGCGCGCTCAGGCGCGCACAGCGCGGGCAGCAGCAGGCCGACCGCCGCCCACAAGATGTACTTGTTCGCTCCGCCGTCAAGCCGCGCGATCGCCGCGGCGTTGGCGACGGTGAAGGCCACGGGCAGCACGCCGCGTGCGCTGAAGTCGTCCAGGACGACGGCGAGGCCTAGTCCCGCACACAGCAGGTCGACGTGGACCGACGCGAGGGCCAGGCGAGGGGCAGAGGTGGACGTGGGCGCACCAAACCCCAGGAGACCCGCGTAAAGGCACAGGTCCTGGCGGTGGGTGATGAGGCCGCGCCGCTGCAGCGTCATCACAAAGGCGGCGCTCTGGATGACGCACAGCGACACGAGCTGCACGCTCAGGCGGCCACGTGTGAGCAAGCAGCCCGTCGTCGCGTGGAACTGCGTCGCCGACATCAAGTACTGGGCGCCCGCGGGCGCGGCCAGGTCGCGAATCGTGCGGCTCGACTCGCCACGCCGCGCGTACCAAGCGGTGAAATGTCGGCCGCCGCCATGGCGCAGAGGACAACAAGCAGTGGCGGGAGGCACGTTTCGGCATGCGGATAACGCACCGCGATGGCCATGAGAACCAGCGAGCGGAGTGTGAAGACGAGCGCATGCCAGCGGTACTCGGGCCAGATCCGTGAGCCCGTGACGATGCGACGGCGTGGAATGGAGAAGGTCAATCCGCTGAGCTGCAGCAGCAGGTGAGGCGCTAGACTTGCGGCAGAACTCCAGCCGTTCTGGTCGGCGAAGCCCATGTCATCTGCGCCGGCAAAAAAGGCGTGGTAGCGGTACGCGAAGTGTAGGAGCGCGTACAGTCCAAGTAGCTTGTGGCCGTGCCACCGATCCTCGCGAGAGGAGAGCTTGGCCATTCGTGTCGCCTGACGCGGCGACCATGCCCGAACAGAAGAAACTCGGATGGCTCAGGACGACCTTGACCTTTTTTCGTGGTGCTCGCTCATCAGTGAAACAAAAAATTCGACTTCAAACAATCGAGGCGTGACAAAGACACGCCGTGCCGCGCCGGCACCGTGACCTTGCCCTCATGGCGCTCGCTTCCGTGAACGTGAGCGTCGCCGTCCTCACCTGGCAGTCGGACGCAAAAGCGTCCGCCGATAATTGCGCTTTCGACTGGTCCGTCAGTGGCGCGTGCTGGCTCACTCTCCCGTTCGCGCAGGCGATCGTTGCAGTCGCCCTCACGGCTGTCACGGACTTCAACTCGCGGGAGCCTGCTGCGTTGCCCGTACTTGGGTCCTTGAAGGGATGCGACAAGCAGCTTCAATTCCGGCTGCTCGACAGCGGCGGCACAGCTGCCAAGGCGGACCTATCGCTGGGAGATCTATCTGGCACAGACGTCGTCATCGGTCCTATTCTCGACACAGTCTCTACCACCACGGCGACTTCCACCGGTGCTCGTGACATCCCGCAGATCTCATACGGGTCAACTTCAGCCGACCTGTCCGATACCGTCCTCTATCCTCGCTTCATGAGGACCATCCCCTCGGACGTTGCGGCCGCGTCGGGCCTCTGCTCCTTTTGGAAGCGTGAGCTCGGGCTCTCGACCGTGGCCGTGATACATGAGCAAACCACGTACGGGCGCGCCTACGAGGCAGCAGCAAAGGCAGCGTGCCAGGCCAGCGGCTTGACAGTTGTCAGCGAAGAGTTTTCCGAAGATGCATCGATCCGCGATGACTCGATCCGTTCTGCTGTCGACAGCCTGAGCAGCAGCGGGGCCAAGGCAGTGCTTGTTCTTGCTTTCAACCAATACAGCATTCGCCTTATTGTAAGGTCTGCGATAGACACTGGTCTACTCAGACGTGGCACCTCTTGGGTGTTCACTGAGAGTGTGGGAGGCACCACGCTCGAAATCGACGGCGGCGCGCCACTGAGCGAGGCGGCGCGGATAGCGCTGAACGGCAGTCTGCAGATCAAGGCGGTCGGTGCGACCGACGGCAACCCGCAGTGGACCAAGTTCGCAAACCAGCGCTGGCCGGAGCTTCAGCCTGGAGACTTCAACCCGTTCCTGCCTGCCGACTGGCAGATCATCGACGACTTTTTCAGTACCGTCAATCCAAAAACGAGTGCAGTGCTGCGCGATGGCAGTGTGTTTGCTTACGACGCTGTCATAGCGGCAGGGCTGCTGTCCTGCAAGGTGGCCCCGACGGGGCCACTGCCGGTGAAGTTTGGCACGCAGTTCTGGGAGTCCAAGCAGACCCTGTCGTTTGACGGCCTTTCCGGGCGCGTGGAGTTCGACGAAAAGGGCGACAGGAGCAACGCGAATGTGCAGCTGTTCAACCTGCTCGACCAAGATGGCTTCTCTGAGAAACGCGTAGCACAATTCAGCAACGACACGTGGGTCTGGGAGGGCGGATCTCGCGAGAGCAGCGGCGTGATCTACAACTTTGGGGAGGCGGAACCGCCGTTTGACGCGTCGCCCCCGCCGCCGCAAGCACCACCACTGCCGCCGTCGACCCCGACCCCGCCATTCACGCCATCGTCATTTAGCATCGGGGAGGGTCTTCTTTCCCGGAGTGTCGTATCGGCCATTTGCGCCGTTGGGGCGTGCGCCCTTCTCCTGCTGTGCTTGTACTTCGCACTTCGCCGCAAACGCCCAGTCACCGTGGCACCCAAGGATGAACTCCATCGCATGGAGTCGGAGATAACGGAGGTGTTCAGTCGCATGTCGGGGCGCTTCAACGCCGAGGAGGTGACGTTGACCAACATCCTCGACTCCTACGACCGCTTCGCCTCGGCGCCGCGCGAGCTCGTCTTCGGCCGGCCAGCGCAAGCGGCGCTAGGCGTCGAGGCGTACATGTGCGTGCCAGAGAACATCGTTCACCAGGGCCGGATCGACGGGACCGCGGCCATCGTGAACGAGGTGACTGTGATCCATCGCCGGATCGCCGCACAATCTCGCGCTCCCCCTCTCTCACCCTAGTCGCCTCTCCCTGCAGGTGAGCCTAGCTGGGACGGATGTCGACAAGGAGTGCCTCGCCTACGTCCTGTACGCCGAGGCTGGCTCGAGCGACCTCACCTTTCAGGGCGGCCTCAAGCGCGACTGCGACGAGAACGGCGCCGTGCTGGAGTCGCGCACTGTCTGCGACGGCGCGGCGAGACGCGGCATGCTCCTTCGCGACTTTGTGGCGCACGAGCACTCGCGGCTCGCCAACCTCGAGCAGGCGCACGTCGTCGCCCTGCGGCTGTACACCACCGCCGCCTTCGAGTCGATCAACAACCCCCTCCGAAACTGGGCGCGGTACGAGCGGGGAGAGCCCCACCCGCTGCCCGCGACGGTCGCGCTGCTCCGGGACGCCCTGACGAAGCTCCGCTCAGTGGAGGCCGAGGTCAGCCGCGAGAGCGCCAGCTCGCAGCTCCTCCTCTACCGCGGGATGAAGGACGTGGCCGCGCCCGACAGCTTCATGGCCGACGGGGGCACGGAGCTCGCCCCCATGTCGACGACGTCTGACCTGAGCGTCGCACTGCGCTACTCAGCGAGCCGCACGATGACCTCCGACCACGTGCTGCTGCGGCTGATCACCGACTCCTTCTACGACCGAGGCCCGAACGTATCCTTCTTGTCCGCGTTTCCAAACGAGGCGGAGTACCTGTTCCCGCCGCTGACCTATCTGCAGCCAACCGGCCGTACCGAGACGGTGGCCGCGTGCGGCATGTCCTATCAGGTGGTGGACGTGAAGCCCCGGGTTTAGGTCACGCGGCCGAACGTGGAAGTGCAAGGTGGTTGCATGCAAATGTGCAAGTTGTTGTGTTGAGTGCGCGTGGATGAGGGGGGGGGGGGGGGGGGGGTTCACGTCAACTCTTGACAGGGTTGTACATTTTACAACAAGCAAACGATCGAGGGGTCCCGTACCATGCGGAATCGACCCTATCCAGTGCTCAAGTGCTCAACAAGCAAACGGTTGGAACGCGACCGGACACAACACACAAACACACACACACACACACACACACACACACACACACACACACACACACACACACACACACACACACACACACACAAGAAGAAGAAGATCCCCCCCCCCCCACACACACACTCGCACACGCACGCACACGCGCACACACACATGGGGCGGGGTATCAAATGCGGCGTGACAAATCGCCGATATGGCGGGTGTTTGTGCGCCGACTGCTGGCGCTGGAGCTCCTGGTGCCGCTGCACCAGTCGACGCACTGCCACCAGCAGCCGCTGCGCCAGTCGACGCACTGCCGTCGACCGCCGCACCGTCCTCACCACCGCCACCCGAGTCGGCCACGCCTCGGTGTATCGTGACAGCCTTCCGCAGGCCGTACTTGGCTCCGGGCTGCGCCGTCTTCGCCGACTTCTTTGGCCTCGCTTCGATTGTGCCGACGCTCCCCGTCTTTTTGCTCGCGTGGGCGTCGTCGCAGGGCATCGTCGGAGACGAGGGCGCACAGTGGGCGCGGCGGTGGGTCGGTGCCATCCTGACGGCGCAGTCCTTCGCAAAGATGCCGGGCCACCTCTTCTGGGGCGTCCAGAGCGCGAAACTCGGCAGCCGCAAGGCGCTGACAGTGGTGATGCTCTTGAATGTAACCTTTTTTGCGGTGACAGCTTTCTTCTCCATCGACGGCATTCCGCTCGGTGCGGTCGCTGCGCTCCTCGCCGTCCGCCTGCTGGCTGGCTTCGCTGTCCCCACCGTGCCCGCCTTTGTGTTCCTTTTCGACCGCCAGGAGCCGGGTCCCGCCCTGGTCGCGTCCATTGGAAAATTCGGAGGCTTCATCTTGAGCGGACTGACCCTCGGAGGCGCCGCCGTCGCGGTGCCGTTTGGAGAGCCGTTTGCCATCTGGGGCGGCGTGATGGGCCTCTCCACAGCGATCGCGTTGCTCGCGCTCCTCCCGGTGTACTTTGCTCCGCCCGTGCTGGACAACATTGTGGCGATGCGGAAGAACAAGCCAGAAGGCATCCGGCGGGCCCTCGCGACTCGGGCGCGCTCTTATTGCTCTGGCCTCGTCTCATCATCTCTCCGACTCAGTCTCGTCTCGTCTCCCTCCCCGCTACCTCTCCTCTCCTCTCTCCTCTCCACCCACTCCCCTTGTGACCCTCCTCGCCGCGGAAGACGCCCCACCTGTCTCCGCGCCACAGGAGTTCATCTCGCACGCGCTGACGTCGTTTGCGAGCGGCTGGACGGTGGTCATCCAGGGAGCGCTGCCCGCCGTCCACTACGCGCTCTACTTCGGCTTCAGAGTGCCCGTCATCGCCGCGTGCGCGACCGCACGCCAGCAGCTTAGAGCACGCTCCCCATTCGGCTCGTCACGCCTAGCAGCAAGCAGCCTTAAGGGCTGCCATAGCTCACCCTCGCCACGCGGGGTCAGGTGCGCGGTGGCCTCCTCGGCCCTGACCTTCTTCACCGCAGTCTACGTCGTCCCGAAGCTGGTGGCGCAAGTAGTAGCAGAATGTCACAAGTAGCAGAAGCAGGAGGGAAACCTGCACTCCAAAGTTTGGGCCCCCACCCACACCCAACCGCCCAAGGACTAGGTGGCGCGCTACTCGATTGCCATGTCCATCTACATCGGGCACGGCTGGCAGACGGCCGCCTGCACACTCCTCGCCCTGCCGTGGATCAACCGGCACCCGGTCGCCTTCCCCTTGATGATTGGAGTGCGTGCGGGGCCAGAGAGGGAGGTGACCGCCTAGGAAGCGGCCCTCTGGGCGCTCTCACATACAGACCTGCCCCCCAGGTGCTCACGCCTGGTCTCTGCCTGGCGGTGAACCCGAACCAGAACCGCGTCTCGACGGTCGGACGCATGCACACCGTCAATGGGACCGGCGCTCTGACGGGTGACGTCGCCTCGCCGCCCCCGTGGAGAGCAGGCGCGGGATGGCGTTGGAGAGAGC